ATATATATATATTATATATACAGTGTTCTAACTACAAATGAGTGATAAGAGGAAAATGATTTATAATAAAATAATATGTATGTCAGTGTATACTCAGGCATAATCACAAAGACAGACAAAGCAAAGCATCCTGATGTTGTCATCTGCATTGGAATACCTACCGAATACAACTGAAATTAATGCTTGCAGGTATGTTGCATTGTATTTATTGTCATACGTAACATTGCTATCAATTGTGTAAATTTCCAAGGAATGAACAACTATTGGTAAAGTTCTGGGGGAACCAGAATAAAATCTTTCCTCAAAACTCATGGATTTGGTACAGGAGTACTCGGGCACACCTGTGGCTCAAGAGGCTGGTGCAGGAGGATTGTGAGTTCAAAGCCAGCCTCAGCAACTTAAGAAGGCCCAAAGCAACTTAGCAAGACCTTGTCCCAAAATAAAGAATAAGAGGACTGGGGATGTAGTTCAGTGGTTAAGCACCCCTGGATTCAATCCATGATAAAAAAAAATCCAGATTATCTGAGAGAAGTTAAACCTCAGTTGGAGACAGAATCTAAAGAACCACCTGACGATCTATCTGAGGCTGAAGTTAATGCCACATTGGACATAAGATTTTCAGAAACTTCAAAAATTCTAACTTCAAAAAATTCTTACCATACAAAAAATACTATGCATTTATAAAACTGAATAAAAATCAAATGTTCTGATTATTTTCAGTGCATTTCAATTTATGAAGTTTTGACAGATCATTCAAATAGAGAGCAAGTATAACCATTAAGTTTAAAAAAAATTAGAGAGAGAGCAAGACCTACATAATTCTTTTCTATGTAGACAACTGTATCCAAGTTAAGATACTTGTCCTTGGCTCCACCTTCAAGTACTAGTAATCCTTTCTTAAAATGATGATATCCAAAAATGGTCCTTGGGATCAATGTCATCCCCATACCTGGGTTAGATCAGCTCTTATACCAATTAAAGACAAAGAACAGGCAACTTGAAATTATTCTATTTATTTCATTAACACTGATGAATAAGATGTTTTATTTTACAGAGTGTGCATTTTCATATTTGGATAATATTTCTTTTATGGGCCCACATAACTAGGTCTTTTATTATGATAGAGAGAAGCATAGTTGCCTGACCTCAACATATCTAAAATCTGGAAAAGGTCATAACACAAACTGTAAGGTAGAAGATATTATGATACTAATAATATAAGAAGAGAAACATAATGAAATTTTCACAAATAATTTTTGAAGGTAAAATATTTTACTCTATTTCTTTATTTTCTTATACATTTATTGGACATTACCAATTTTCTTAAAGTGTTCATGTCTTAGTAATTGTCTCGCAAACGTTATGGAACAAAGAGAGAAATAAAAAATTAAGAAAATCAGTTAGAAGAGAAATCACATAATAAATGAAAGCAATATAATTAAAAAGAGGAAAAACATGACAGATAAAAGAAATTTAAAATAGGAAAAAAATTGGAAACTAGAAATGTTCCCAGTATGTTGCTGTTTTTTCTTCCTCAAAATTAATTTCTATGAATCGCAATTTTAATGCTAGAAACTCACAGAGCTAATTCTTATTCCCTTGATGTATTTGTGGATCCATAAGGTGACAGCCAATTATGGAAAACTGCTAAATCGTGAAGATATACCTTGCTGAAAAAAAAAAAAGTTCTCAATTCATTCTGGTCTGGTGTATTGAGAGCTAAATTATAACCAAAATAGTAGTTCTATTCTTACCATTAGTTACTGCAGGTTTTCTGCAGCATTAAAAACATGCAACTGGATTTGTTTCTTGGCAAATTTAGATTATAAAATTTTGAAGGCAATAGAAATATCAGCAGGAAGGAACTAAAATCCACGAGCATAGTATCAACCTAGCCATTAATAGACATTCGTGAAATAAAATGTGGCACATATCACAAGTTACAAAACAATGGCAAAATGCTAATCAGAATTTTGCAAAAACTTCAAATTATTTAATATTTTGAAGGTTACATTTTTTATTATTTTTCAGTACATTTGTTCATTCATTCCTCAAATTCAGAAAACTTTCTTGATAAAGTCTTATCTCATACAGTCTAAATTAATGGTTACTCCATACATTTACCAAAAGTTTTTAAGAATGTAGTTTTCATTTTTAAAAAAATATATAACTTTAAGAATGAAATGAACTTCAAAAATTTCAATAGAACTTTCTGTATCAAAAGAACATTTAAATTAACTGTAGCCCAAGATATCTAGAAATTCTTCCAAAATACAGAAAAGGAAAAAATGTTAATCATCTCTCTTGGGAACTCATTTTAATGCCTAGCAGCACATTGATCAGGAATATTCTCTAGGTTACAGTTTCACCATTGTTTAGATATATTCAGTAACCTTATAAATGATTTTTGGAGGAACAGTACAATTGGTGATCCTGAACACAGACCCCTATGACCTTAAACTTGACCTTTCAATAGACAAATCTAGAGGGATGGGAAGGACAGTGGAAGGAGATGAACATTATATATCTTATATACATGTATGATGACACTTCTGGTGTGACCCTGCACCATGTTCAGCCAGAGGAAGGAGAAACTGTGCTCCATTTATGTACAATGTGTCAAAATGCATTCTATGGTCATGTATAACTAATTAGAACAAATATAAAATAAATAAATAAAGTAATGTTCTAGAAAAAAAGGACATATCTAGAAATCCTTGTTCTAGCAGTAGTCCACGAGATCTGTTTCTCTTCATGTCTAAATACTGAACTTCTCACCAGTTATGATTACCCAGAGAAATTTCATACTATTTCTCCCTTCATCTCTTTTTGCCAGTATGAGTTGGATGGATCATCTTGCCTGGTGTGTTGAGAGCTAAATTATAACCAAGATTAACCTACCTAAGGTGAAGAGGCATAAAAAGAACTAGACAGCTGAGTCCAGTCCAAACCCCAAGAAAAGACCATGCTTCTAGCTGAAGAAATTAGAATGAGCTAATGAAACTAGTACCTGTTAGACCAAGCAAACATTTCACGCTAGAAAATAATGCAATTTCATATTTGGGTAATATTTCTTCTGTAGGCCCACATTAGTCAGCCTTTTATTATAACACAGTATTATAGAGAGAAAAGCATAATTGCAACTCCATGTGGAGTCATCATCAGTGGTCTTTGTATGGGCATCTTTTGGAGACCACAGGGATCAAGTAAAGATTGAGATGAGTGCTCTGTAATTTTATACTACTTTTGTTTGGCTGGAGCAAATAATGAATGGTATTCTTATTGTAAGCACAAAATGATGGATGCAGACCTCAAAAGATTCAGAGATGCCGTTTATTCATTCACAGACTCAGGCACCATAGGGGTTCATTTTCTGGATGAGAAAGTGGCCTTCAGTTACAGAGGATACAGTGAGGGTGGTTTAATCATTGGAAACTGTGGATGTGCCCTTTGGACAGTCAGGGGCTAGTGGTGCAGGTTAAAACTTTAACTCAGGAAAGCAGTGGTTAAAAAGGTTGAAACTCATTGTTACCTGGAGAGATGGAAGTCCAGATCCTGAGAGATGTATCCTCAAATCTCACCCATTGCTTTTCTTTCTCTGGGATTCACTGTTTCCCAGAGTTTCCATATTTACTGAGTCTCCATTTAGGACTAATTTGCAATGGGGGAAGGTCCAAGTCCATAGCCCAGCATTCAGAAGCCACTCCCTTCCTTCAGGGCCCATTGTTATTGGGAAAGGACTTACCGGTAGGTTAATGCTTGGCTAGTTTTCTCTCCCTCCTCTGGAGCTGCACCATCTCTCCGCTTTTCTTCTGGGGCTATCTGGTTGGAATATTATTTTCCATAGCCCTCCACTTACCTCCCTGGACTATTTTCACTCCCAATACAAAGAAATTACTATGGTGGTTCATGGCTAACGGCACAAAAGGCAATTCCATAGGTCAATTATCTTTTGCTTAAACCAATGGCTTCCCCCTAGAACAAAGAGCAGCAAATCACAGCAGCTAATGGCTGTGACGCTCAGGAAGATTTCATTGTAAAATGCAACACTGTTATTGCAGCCCTTGGTTTGTGCCACAACATGCAAGTAATAGATCCTGAAGAACTGGTAGGGAAGAAAACAAATAAGGATGATGCCTATGAAGAATAGATTCTTCAGCTGAGCCCAGAACTCCTGGTGGGACAGTAAGGAGTGGCTTAGCTTCCGCACCATGGATATAGTGATGAAGATCTGGAAGACCAAGAGAATCACTGCAGTGGTTATGACAATAATGACTATTATGTAATTGATGGCTTGCACATACTCACGACCAAGTTCCTTATGGAAATTAAAACAGTGGTTTTCATTGTACTCCTCATTATTTCCATACTGAGAAATGACCAGGGGTACCACAATGACAATCACCAAAAGCCACATGCCTGAACTGGCAGCAACCGCATGTAGTTTTCTGTAGAATTCCACTTTGTCCTGGCGCTTGAAGAAGATGAGGTACCTGATAACCAGGATCACCAGGTAGAAGAGGAACGTGAGGTACATGTGGATGTGCAGCATGGCACTCACAAATTTGCAGAAGGGCAATCCAAATGTCCAAGTCTCCTTGATGAGGTAGGACAAGCGGAAAGGTACTGTCAGCAGAAAAACACTGTGGACCACCACCAGGTTAACGACTGCTGTGGTCGTCACGGACCGTGTATTCATTTTCACCAGCAGGAACAAAATGGAGATGACACCTGTCAGTCCGCCAATGAGCACTACAAAGTAGAGCCAGGTTAAATGAGGAGTCAGTATAGGATCACAAGAGGAATTCCTGGAGATATTGTAACCAGCCATTCTTCAGACATCGCCTGGAAAAGAAAAAACACTGATAAACTTCCAGAGTTTCATTCAGAGTACTTTTAAGGCACTGACAACAACGTGGCTTGCAATTTATCTATTTACATGATGTAAACTTTATGTGCCTTAAGAATGAAGATTATGTCATATGCATGTTTGTGTATCTTAAACCTAAAACACAGCAAGTCATTGTTTCAGTCCATTTCTGTTGCTATTAATACAATACCACACATTAGGTGACTTTATAAAGAAACTAGGTTTATTTTGGCTCATGGTTCTGAAAGTCCAAGGTCAAGGTGTTACCCTTAGTGATGGCCTTCTTGCTGCAGACTTTCTAGGTGTCACGGAGACAAGGAGCATGCATATATGTCTATGCCTCTCCTGGTCTCTCTCCCTCTTTTATAAAGCACCTGTAGGATTCATTTATAGGGATGCCACCCTAAAGAATTTATCTAACTCTAATCCCCCCCAAAGATGCCACCTCTGAACCACATGATTGGATTAAGTTTCCATCCTCTTAATACCTCACAAAGGGGATGAAATTTGAACACGTGAAACCTTAGAGAATGTGCACTAACCATATCTAAACCATAACAGTCATTGATTCTTAATTTTTAATAGGAATAAAAATCTAATCTTAATCTTTATGATAGATGCTACCAGAAAAACACACACACACACACACACACACACACACGGACAAGGCAATCTGCATAAATCTTAAGAGAATTACAGACCATGGGGAAATACTAGTACTATAATAACCAATAGAAAATATTTTTATACAAGATATTTTTTAAGCATGATTATAGTTCTCTAAATCCTTCCACCAGGGAGACTCAAAGAGATTCAAATTGAATTGTTCACTCAGTACCTGACCTTTGTAATACATTTGCAATTATTCTTATTCATTCTTTGAATATCTCTTCATACAATGGAGATGGATTGAAAGATGAATGGATGGATGAAATGATGTAAGATATTTTAAGATCATGATTTTAGTTCTTTAAATCCTTCTAACTTGCTCTTAAATGACCAGAGGATATTCACACTTAATTCATTTATGATACTGATTTGAGAAAAATTTAGATAAGTCAAGGCAGCAACAAGAAATAGGAAGATTTATCTGAACTTTTCATTGTACTTATATTTTCATGTAACTGGGAGATCTGACTGTTAAATTTAACAGAGCCCCTATCAAAATGGGCATGCCCTTCCCATTCTCCTATTCCCTGCATTCAAACGTATAAAAGGGCAATTGTCATTCCTCCTCCAGACTCCTGAAAGATCCTCTCCCCAAATTATTCAAACCCTCATACTCCATCTTCAACTTAGTTATTATTAAAGATTTAGAAGTCTTTCAATTTCACTAACAAGTTATATCACATTTCCTACTTAAAGGCCTTCAATGGCTTCCCATTTAAGATAAATATCGATATCTTTCCGTGTCTAGAATGTTCTGGGTTACAATGGCAAAGACTGGTCCTTTGAGACCAGATTCAAGAAATAATCAAACTTTGATGGAATGCACATGAGGACATGAGTGGTACAGAAGAGCCTTAATCACGCCCAGCTTTCTGACTTGAACAATTGCCTTGGTAGAGGTCTATGTACTGACACCAGGGAAACTCAAATAAATTCAAATTGAATTTTTCACTCAGTACCAAACCTTTGGAACATATTTGCAATTATTTTTCTTCATTTACATAATGGAATATGTCCCAGCAATACAAATGAACCTACTTTTGATATACATAACACTGATGAATCACAAAAACATATTAAATCATATATATTCTCAAGAAGGTGACAGTGCCCTAAAGGTGCAAAAAATATTGTCCTTGATGTATTTCATGGTTTAGATATAAGGTGTCCCTCAAAAGTTCATGAGTGTGGGGTGCAGTGGCAAAAGCCTGTAATCCCAGTGGCTCAGGAGGTTGAGGCAGCAGGATCAGGAGTTCAAACCCAGCCTTAGCAACTCAGCAAGCCCTAAGCAGCTCAGTGAGACCCTGTCTCTAAGTAAAATACAAAAAGGAACTGGGGGTGTGTCTCAGTGGTTGAGTGCCCCTGAGTTCAATCCTGGTACCAAAAACAAAACAAACAAACAAAGAAGTTCATGAGGTGAGAATACTAGAACATTCAGAGGTAAAATGATTGGTCATGAAAGCCTTAACATAATCAGTTCATTAATTCCCTGGTAGAGGTTAACTGGGTTGTAACTGTAGGCAGGTAAGTTGTAGCTAGAGGAGATGGGTTGCTAGGATTGTGCCATTGGGGTATATATATTATTTCTGGTGAGCAGAGATTAGGTCTCTCTCTGCTCCCTTATTGTCATGTCCTGAGCTGCTTTCCTGCCTCATGCCCTTCTGCCTTGATGTTCTGCCTTGCCTCCAGCACAGAGCAACAGAGTCAGCCATTGATGAACTGAGACCTCTGAAACCATGAGCCCTAAGTAAACTTTTCCTCCTCTACATCGTTCTTGTCAGATCTTTTGGTCACAGCAGTGAAACAGCTGACTAAAACAATGTGTGAGAAAATATTATTCTATGTATATAAAGTATGGAAATGTATATATGTACATATATGTATAGACAGACACACACACACACACACACACACACACACACACACACACCTGGCACATAACCACACAGGTATATCTGTGGTATTAAAATTTCAGAAGGAGGTGAGAGACAATTAGGGGAAAAAAACCTAAAAGTGCTGTCTAATGGGACAGTAATTTATAATCAGTTGAGAAACACTGTGCTCAATGAAAGATACCAGCCACAAAAAGTACATACTGTTTGATTTCTTTTTCTAGAAAAGGCATAACTAATGTGAGAGAAAACAAATCCATGTAGGCCCTGGCCCAGGTCATGGGGAAAGAGATCCGCTTCCAAGCAGGTGGAGAGGCTTATGAGGTTATATAAATATTTTATGTCATATTTGGTTACCACCACAGTTACTTGACAACATTTGTTAAATTACACACTTAAAATTGAGAGATTTGTTTGCATATACTTATACCTCAATAGATTTTTTTAAGTAATAATAACCTAACTCCAGGAAACTTCTATTTTTGTAAGCATGGAATACAACTTCAAAGAATCATGACTGGGTATTTCCTTAGGGGTTGCCTCATGGTAGACTTGATCTATGTGATGTGTCATCTCTACTTTGCCTCTTATTTTTCTCTGTGGAAAAATAGTTCATCAAGTAGGAATTACCCTGTATTAAACTCTGAGTCAGAACGGCTGTGCCGCCATGACTTCTGCTCACCATTTCCTTCAGACATTGGCCTAGTCAGACTGACTTCTGAAAGAAGGGAGTAAAATCAATAGCACATCACTTAAATCCTCTTTCTTTATTGTAAACTGCTGCAATCTCTCTCTTACATATATCAGAAACACATGTTAAATAATTGTCTCTGCTAAGACTACACTATATTGCCATATTTAATTTAACCCTCATGATAATCTTGTGAGTAGTGAAATGTATTATCATATGGAAATCTAGGTGATAAAACTGAGTCCTGGGAAGGATGCCATTTGACTAAGGTTTTCAGAGCCTGTCTGTCTGTCTGCCTCTCTCTCTCTCTCTCTCTCATACACACACACACACACACACGATACACACATTCCAAAACATTATTGTGTGTCATGAAGAAGCATTGTGAATATGCCAATTCCAAGTTTCTAAATGTTAACATAAGCAGGAGGGAAGGCCATCAAGAAACTGCTCTGCTTGCATGGCTGTCTGCCAACATATCAACAGAGCAGCTCTTTCTGCTTCTTGGATTCCTAACTCTCCTACCCCTTTTTCTTGGTTTTTAGCAGATCCCACAGGTTAGCTCAATCAAAATCATTCTCTTTCTTGCCTGCTTTTGTTATAGTTTTTTTTTTTTTTCAGCATTAGTGCTTGCATATGACTTCATTTACTGGTCGGCTGTTGGATTGCAAAACATGGAGGCCGATGTCAGCCAAATGAGAATGTCAACGTGCAGAGAGATTAGACTGTTTGGCAAGATAGTAGTGAAATTGGTTACTCTGGGACAGCTATGGCATAATTCTTGTATTCGTTAGTATATAGCCTAGATTTCAAATATTAAGATAACATATTAAATATAACTTCAATCAGACATTATATCAAATGTAAATAGAGTAAACAGTCCAATTAAAATACAAAGATTGTAGACTGAATTCAAGAATCAGGATCCAGCTATATGGCGTTTACAAAAGATATTTAAAATGTAAGAATCACAATAAAAGCAATAGATTCATTATAAAATGTCACATTTATTTCTAATAGTGATTCTTCTTTAAGACCTACTTTTATTAACATACTTGAGCCTTTTTTGTTTAGTGTTCATACTTTACATATTTTTCCATCCTTCTAATAGCAGTATTTATGATTCTTACACTTAAAATGTGCCATTTGTAAACAAAAATTACTTATGCCTCTCCCCTACAAATCCTACAAATTCAGATCACTTAACGTCATTTATCCCACCACTCCATTTTATGGTTTTCACGCATATTAATTCTACATGTCTTTTAAACCCCATATTGACATTTAATCCACAGTCATGTGTTTTTCCCACTTAGTCCGTATTCATTGCTCTGTTTCTTCCTGCATTTCTGTGTTTCCATCCAGGACAATTTTGAAGAACTCCATTCACTATTTCTCCTAATGCAAGTTAATTCTTTCAGGTTGTGTGTGTGTTTGTGAAAATTTTTTCATTTTATATACATTATTAGGATTAATTGCAAGGCATAAAAACTTAGGTTCACACTTTCTTTCAATACTTTGAAAATGTTATTACATTATCCTCTAGCTTTCACCATTGAGACTTCAGTCATTAACATTGCTACTGCTTCTTCTATTATGATTGTCTTTTTTTTACTTTAGCTCATATATATATATATATATATAGTGTTTTATGTTGTTTTGTGCTTGTAGTGTTTTTCTCTGTTTATGCTGCTTGGAGGTCCTCATGGTTTCTTAAATTTAT